AGCAGGAAGTTTTCTATACTTAACCACTAGTCCACAGATAGTAAGTGATATGGTTAGAGTCCGAGATGTGCACTGTAGATACACTCTCAGCTGAGGATCCATGTAAATAAAACACATTAAAAGAACCTCAGGGTTTGCACAGTTCAGGTTATCACATTTTGTCTGAATAGTGCAATTTTTTGACATCTGATTGCAAAACTTCCTCCTTGCAGGGAGGCAAATTGTTATGAGGCAAAAATGAATCCTTTCCAATGGCCGCATTTTGCTTAGTGCTGCTGAGACAGGAGGTGGCTTTATACTTGTTTTAAGCTCTTTGTCTAGCACTGAGACTGCTCATACATCCAGCACAACTCAGAGCTGTCTTTGGCTATTCTGAACCAGCAGAAGAGGCCAACCTTTTTGGAAGGTTTACCACAAATTAGCCCTGCAGCCTCCATGGGTGTCACTGCAATCCCTTACCCCTGTCTGGTTTGTGATTTTTCCTTCTGCTCCCTGCCCCAGCTGCTGCTGTTTTTTCCTTCCTGCACTATTTGCCGCTGTGCTGCCTGTTCCCTTCCTAATCTGCCATAAACCACTTGTGGCACACGTGCCACACACTGGCCACCCCTGTTCTACATTGCAGTGACTTGTAATGGCCCCTAGACGATGACTCCACAATGCAGCAAGACTCCATTTCAACTACAAAACTGAATCTCCATCTAGCTCTTTAAGCTGGCTTGCTTAAGTGTTACCACTTTTCTGCAGTGTAGAACAGATGGTAAGAGGTAGGATTTGGCTGACAGTCCTGAAATTCTATTGTTTGAAATATAACATGCCTACACAGAATATTTTCCACAATCTTGTAAATGTGTCAGGAACTATAATGTTTTAATCTTACGTTCAACTATTTCTCATAATTATGGCAGTATATCTTTACTGAACTTCATTTTTTATAACTTCAATTGTTCTCCCTCTAAGTTCTGTTTTAATAGAGAATGGGTAGCTAATTGATAATCGAGCTGTAAACTACATAGTAAGTTAATTCAACTATCCTAGACTGTATGTGGGAAGTGTAAATGGTAAGAGTACAATTTACTATGCATTTTTCACAGGATTTTGATTCATCGAGTCTAGTACATCCATATGATGCTGAAAATACTAGAAGCATATCTATGTTAGCAAAAAAATATTGTATGTTACGTTGTATATGAGAAACAGCACAGTTATATGGTTAGAGATTATTATAAAAACAAACAAACACGCAGAAGCAGAGTTGCAGGTACACTGCAAACTTAAGAAGTGGCATTAAATTCTGAACGCTTAATCAAATTTGTTATCATTTTCTTAATGGAATATTTAAGCAATATTTAGCAATATTAAGCAATATTTAATATTTAAGCAATTCAATTTTTAAAAGTAAGTAATGGATAAATCGCTAAAAAAAGATGGCTCGAAATAGGAACATATTATCCTACAAACAGGGGGATGTTTAAAACTGACTCAAACCACCAAAATCTTCCACTTTCAGAAAGAGACCAATCATGGAAATTTTCAACCAAAAGAATAAAGAGTTTGGGAAATTATAAGTGAATAAAAACGGAGTTAATTTGAATGGAAATTGTTAGGCAGCTACAACAGTTACTGCTACTACCAATATAATGTAATCATCTAGAAAGCTAAAAACCTATAAAACAGGTCACAACATCTACTATGCAGCTAACATTTAGGTACCCTTCACATGCATTAGTTTAAGGCCCCCAAAGAACTGCTGACAAGCTGCAGAAGGGAAGACTGACCTGTGAGGCAAGGGTGATGCTTGGCTGAGACTGCAGGAGGTTGGCTTGGCTTTGCTGAGGTAGTTGCGTTAAGAGATTCTGCGCTTGCAGGAGACCTGGAAAGAGAGGAGGGTGATTTGGAAAATGATTTCAAACCCTTTGAAAAGGTAGCTTTATCAAGTAGTAGCCAATTAAGTAAAACTGATGAGACGTTGTGGGGAGGGAGGCGCAGGTTTCAGCCTCTGTTCTCTTCTTTGGTTGAGCATCTTTAGCATCTTCTCAGTCCACATTTTCCTGAATTCCTCTAAGAATGGGGGAAGGGGAGAATCAGATCGTGGCACAGAGCCTGGGACATAGTACGAGATGCCTGAGGCAGTGCCTATATTATAAGTAGGAATTATTTATTATCCTTCCAACTTACAGCCTTTGAAGGTACATCTTTGTTGCTTCTTTCCAATTCAGTACCTAAGCAGCTAAGTGGCCAAGGGTTAAATGGACAAGTAAAAATAAATTCAAATAACTGATGATCATTAAATGTTATACTTTCCAAATGGAATTTCAGTGGTCAGACTGTCCCTTCCTCATCACCCCTCCGTCCAGAGAAGGTAAGTGGCTTCAGCAGAGTAAAGTAGTATGACAGACACAAGGAGAAACACATCTAGATACTCTTTTTCTTGTTTCTCCTCTTTTTCTTTTTTTTTTTGAATCAGCAAAGGAAACTTTAGAAAAATTAGATGAAGTTTTAGAAAGGTACTAAAAATTGTTTAGGTGTTGCATGATAAAAGATACATTTTAAAGGGAATGCAGCTTGGAACCCCATCTAATGAAAAAGGAGAGGCATTCAAAGAGCAGTCAGGCACAATGACATCAGTACTGGTTCCAGGTCAACAAATTACAGCCAACTGTAAGCACTAAAATGTAACTCAAAAAAAGGGGATCTGTCCCATGATGCAACCAGCTCAGAAGGTATTTCTCCTTGCAGGCAGGAATTTGCACTCTATGAAATATTTCAGGAAATGGAAGAGTCTTAGGTCCTAAAAAACAAAGGCCAGAGGAAATTACCCTGCACATTTCAGGTGAGAGCTGGCATCTAACACACAGGTACATATGTGCACATAACTGTTTCTGTGGAAGGAGTTAGCCAAAGGTTGGTTTTAATTTCCAAGAACTAAAAAGTTTTTCTATACGAAAGGAGTAAAATAATACTGTATCTGGGCGATTAACGCTTTTTGGTTTTTCTCACCCTTGTGTCACTTTGTCCAATAGTGAAATGATTGGTGTTATTACTGAACTATTGAGATGCAGTGTTTTTGTTCTTTTAATTAGCACGTTATTAGCACCCAGTGCTTTTTAACTTCAGAGTAACGAAAAAAATGCAGAAAGTTTTGACACGTTAAACTTAAATTTGGTGCTGATAAAGCATCCATGGCTGTATCCTCTCTCACCTGTTAGGTACCAACATGGTGACACCCTGCTCCAGCCTCTGATTAAAACATTAACAAATTTTTTTTTAGGACTAAAATCACAGAAGTAGCATGTAGGAGGACGACCCATCTACTTTTTGCATTAACTGTTTTTCAGGGACTCAAGTAGGATAGCACAGGATCACACTCACATATCTAATAGGTGAAATAAGATCTGGTCCTTAGGATATACAGTTGTGGAGAATAAAGCCAGGTATTTAAAGCAGAGAAATGTTACAGAATACACAGTAGCAGTAAAACCTTCCCCTATATCCCTCAATGTGCTTCAACCCTGCCTCTGAAGGACCACAGAAAGTGGGTATTTATAGCCTCTCTGGTCTACTTAATCCATGGCATCCTTTGTCAAAGTAGTGCTAATTTGTAGTGATGGTTTTTATGATGCTGATAGCTCTCCACTAGCAATCTGACAGAAGGAGCCCTAATTTAATCAGTAAATTACTGAACAGCCATTTAATAATGAATTCTAAGTGGTTACTAAGAAAGCAAGCATCACCAAGGCAGCCTGGGCCTCTTTGGTGACCTAACTGAAGCTGGATAAAGATGAGATTTTTATGCTGGCATTATCAGATTCCTTACCTGCCTTTAACATCACTAATCATGAGGTGTTGAGACTCATTTGGTGACTTCTGCAGGTGTAGATGGTGCTGTCCTTTGGCACTTTTGTTCTTTTCTCTCAAAGAAATCCCAGAGATTAGAGCTTTTGGCAATATCCCTTTTGCCCTAAACTCTCAGCACGGCAGGGTTTAATGGGTACTGTTTTTCCTCACATGCACATTTTAGAAGGATTCATGTAGAAGACAAACTGAAGTGTCTGAGCATGATACAAATGCCCATGCTTTTCTACTGACTTTGTCCACTGAAACATTTTTGTCCATCTCTCTCAGTATCTAGCAGAGATCAGAGATTGTTGAATGACGCTCTGAATAAGAATGAAGTAATGATCCTGCCACTAAATTATGAGAATGAGTTAACTAGGAAACTACACCTAAAAACAATTCAGAAACAGAAGCAGAAGAAAGCAGCAGTCTGCTTCTCACCTTGCCGCAAAAACAAGAGTACTCTAGGATCTGTGTTACCAGCTCGCAGGTTTCCATCTTGACTTGTAAAACACAAAAAGTACTGAGGGGTTGTGGGATTTTCAAAAGCAGCAGCCATAATCTGCGGCACCTTAGGCTGGTTGTTTACTGGATGACTTCCTAGGAACTCTGCAAAAGGTCCTGTCCAATAAAGTAGTCCTGTACTGAGAAAAGCAGAATAAGCTTGTCCAGAACTTGCACCAATCAATGGATGCCTAGCTATTGCACCAACATCATTCACAAGGCTTAGTGTGAAGAACTTGGACATGCTCAGAAACAACCTGGATGCACTGATACAGAAGGACCTGTCAGTGGGACCTCACTGGGACTCTTACCTTTTAACTGAAGTAACAAGCACTTTCCTTCTTCTGTGAGATACTGTCTTACTTCTAATTAGAGATGCAACAGTTAGGGCACCTTTGAATCAAGCAAACACATTGGTAGCAGAGCATTTTGACTCTGAAATATACCTCTTTGTTAATTTTGGAAAGGCTTCAGGATTCAGAGTTTCTGTTTGTCCAGAAGTTTTGCTTTCCATGACTAGTTCGTTTATTTGGGGAGTGGGGGTTGGGATGTGATTACTTGCTTGTATGCTACTGTTTGTTTGCAGTGGGTTTTCATCTGAAGTATGTGTCCAGAGCCTCAAGTTACATAACGAAACTCAAATAAATAAAATAACTTTTATGAAACAGGGATTCTTTTATGAAAAGTAGTTGTACACAAAATACTGGTATTCCTACTAATGCTACATTCTGGCAAGTGAATGACATTGAAGGGATTAAATGCACTTGTGGATGGTTTGTCTTTTGCATCCACATGAGTTTTCAGTCAGCTAACTTGAGCATGCAGTTTATTTAATCTTTTAGGTGGCACTGTATATATATAATGCTCTTTTTATATAACTGCTGTCATTTTGGGCATTTCAAACTTTTCTGTGGTTTGGATAGCATATAAGTAGAAACAGCAGGGAACTCCCAAGAGAACAGCGAATGAAAATTTGCAGACACATCATTAGCAGTCTTTGGGTTTTCACTTAAAATTAAATACTGTACCACTGCCATAAAGCATTACTATTAGCTCCTGCCTCAGGTGTTAACAGCACAATAGTATTATTACTACTATAATTGTAATAGAAACCACATCATGTTTGTGAGGCTCAAAAAGAATGACTGTGCTTGGGAAGGTAAGAGTATAAGCAAGAGAAAAAAGTGATCCATGTATATCTCATTTTAAAAGAAAAAGTTAAAACAAATTCATGTATTAACTCAGAAAATTTCCTGGAACACTTAATGATTGGTATGAATTAATGGCCCAAGGCAAAAACTCTCCTTGCCAGCTAACAATCCCCAAGGAATAATCTAGGACTCAGTTGTTACCCTCTAAAATTAGCAGAAGAAAAATAAAAAACATTTTAGTACAGTTTTTCATTGCATAATTTAAAAAGAAAAAAAAAATCAACCTAGAAGTGCAATACATAATTCATATCTTTAAGTGATCTCCCAACAGAGGAATATTTTCCATTGGAAAAAGAAGGAACTCCTTTCCTCTACAAAAGCTGCTCATCTTCTAGTGGTCATATCACAGAGGTCAGGAGTGCAGGACAGAACTGTCAGACTGACTCACAGAATGATTAATTGGAAAATGCCTCAGGTGGAAATAACGGGTGCTCCATCACTGTATATGTGGTAACACTGTCATTTGAGAATCTTGGGTGAGCTCAGATGATGCGAGAAATATGTAGCTGCCTCTGGTATAAGTGGGTCCTAATCTATTGAGGTCTTTCAAGATGGGGGCCAAGGCCTTAAATCTTACTTGGAATCTTCCTGGGAATCAACATCTGAAAGCAGAGAACTGATCTAATGTGTTCCCATAAAACTGTTTCACTGGCAATTCCTCACAGTTGAGAATGCTTGCCTTCCATGACTGCCTTATCTGTGGGTCCTAAAATGGCTAACAAAGCCAATTTGGGATAGACAGGTTCAAATACAACTTAGGCACATGTTTCCTTATGGAGTGGGTGGCCCTGGATTCTTTATTTGGCCCACAACACGCTGTTTCTGCTGTTCCATCTTTTGTTGTCATTGTGAGGTTTTGAAGTACTGAGATCCTTGCAGCAGACTCTTCCTCCATTTGGGGCAGTCATGGTCAAGTCTCCCAAGAGTTGAGTCAATATTGGATTTTTTCAAGTTGGCTTTCAGAATGTCCTTGAAGCACTTGCTCCGTCTTCCTCTTGAGTGTACACCTTGACTGAGTTGGGACTATAAAACTTGCTCTGAGTCTGGTGTTGGATAATCATCACCTTGATGCTTGTGGTGTTTGCTTGTGAGAGGATGCTAACGTTGGCACATCTCTCTTCTCACTGGATTCAAAGATTCTTCCACAGGCCACATTGATGATACTTCTCCAATTACTTAAGGTCTCTCTCTATACGTTGTCCATGTCTTGGCTCTACACAGTAAGGTAGGGATCATGATGTCAACACCACTGCACCTTTTGCAGTTCCCAGGAGCCTTTCCAGACCAAGTGTGGGTAGAACACGTTACAACAAGCTAGCCT